GCAAGTAAAGTGGAGATCTATTAAAAACTGAATTACTATTGTATACGAACATGAATATAGAAAAATATTGTACATGAATGTAAAAGTAGAGAAAGACTAATGGCGGATGTACCGTTGGATAGGATGTGTACACATAATCCTAATATAACAAATATTAGTTAAGATGATAAAGATTTTCATATAACTTGTATGCATCAATAAAAGTTTGATAATGTAGCTTCTTTTGGCCATGATAACTTAGGTTCTTTGTTTATAGTAAATATAAAAACAAGTTCCTTGTCAAAAAGAAGGAATGGATATATTTTGGCTAATTTATACTTCATATTTTGTAAAGACTTACCTAAACATAATCAACAAGATTATATTTTTGTTTAAGTTTGTTATAAACTATGAAGGTTTAGTGTCTTGTTTGTCATTATTGTTTGTTTCTAGTTGTGATATGTCCAAATTCACACACAACTGATCAAGATCTTCAAGAACGATAAGAATGAGATGAAGAGAGAGAATATGATAACCAAATGTCTTGTATTGCTTGAGAGAGAGATTACAGTTAATCTGGAATGACAGAAATGTTAATGACTTGCTAATGACAATTACAAAGTAAACTCCTATTTATACTAAGGAAAGCTTTAAACTAATCTATTACAAAGCATGTAAAGAATGGAGAACTTGAATACAATCTTTAACACACATACTTGAACCCAACAAGTGGCATCATTGTTAATAAATATGTATCTGACATATTTTGTTTGATAAATATTGACACTTTACATTCATAGTGTATGAATATTTAATGTACCTTGAAACTCAGTTTGGGACTTTATGCCTTGCTATAAAAAAGGAGGTTGGGTAAAGCAAACTTCGTCCTTGGACAAGCATGGGCTTAGTCAAGTAGAATTGGGTTGTGTTGTTGGATGCTCTGATCGACAAAAAATCGGTGGGGCTATGTTGGTATGACTAAATATGCATGAGCTTGATGCTTAATGGTGTTAGTTTGAACATATTTTAGATTTTAGAGTTTACATGAACCACAAAGATATTTGAGTAAACTCAGTTTTTATATTCGACAAAAAAATATTAACATGTACATAATCCCAATTAAAGAAGTTAATTTCTACCTTCATTTATCATATAACGACCAATGTTATGGTTCCAATAGGAACATTAGGATTCTGGAGAAAGGGTTTGTCCATCAACTCATCTAATGCTTCAAAATGATTTGATTGGTTGTTGGATTTCAAATGCACTTGGTCTTTCACCTTATGTCTCTACTTGGATATTTAGTAGAAGAAAACCATAGTTATCTTGGTGATTCAAGTTACAAATTTGCTGTAAAATCTTAGTTTAATACAATTTGACAAACCTAACTCAATGTCACACAAGTGTGACAGTGACAGACTTATTAAGGGTTAAGTGGGGTCCTGTGCACCCGCTCACTCGATTATCACAAGAGAAAAAAAAATGAGATGGTAAATGGGGGCACCCGGTTATTTATAAGTGTGCCTTTAAAAATTTAGACACCAATATATAACAAAAATCCGAAGCTAACGAGATAGTTGTTGTAAATCAGGTAAGGGTGTCGTCTCCTAGAGTTCTTAGGTCCGAAGGGTACCTCTAGCAACATTTAAGTTCTTTATCTTTTAAATTGTTTGGTTACAATTTTTTTTTAAAATAGAAGGGTGTTCTAAAATATTTTGGAACTAAAGGGACTAAACTTATATTCAGGTTCAACCCTGGCCACGTGCAGCCCGTGCGACCGCATAGGGCATCAAATCCTAAAGGGGCATCAAGTTGCAGTATATTACTAATTTTGGGTTTAATAATTTAGGAATTGGACAATTGGGCTTTAACTATAAAAACATGCCCAAGATATGGTAGTGATGGATATTGAATGTGCATCATCAACCGGTTAACGCCATCATTCCAAGAACTCAATTTGATTTCCATTGTTCTTCAAAGTTCAACTGTTTCAATTTTCAAGGCATAGAGTTCCATTTTCAGCCGAATAAACAATCATGAAACTAGATTCAAAAAATCAAAGATGGAAATCCCGAATGGCAAATTTCTAATGTTGATTGAATTTGTTGAGTTGTTATGTGAGTCATATTATGATTCATGAATCTTTAATTCTTTTTACAAAAAAAAAAGAATCTACATTTCTAATTGATTATTATAAAATTGTGACTTATATGGTTGTGTGGGTTACAGACCTACTAGGCTAAGGCTAAGGGCTTTTGTCATTTTGATAATGAGTCTCCTCTTGCATATTGAAATATTTGGAAATTGAAATTTGCAATGCACATTAGCACATCGCTGGAGCACGCTACGTAGCAATAACAACATATTGTGATATTGCCTTAATTATAGGGAACTTATTCTTTGCAATGCATAGTAACATAAATTGTGAATTTAAAATTTATCATTATTTGTTTGCCTGTTCTTTACTTTGAGGTTTGGCATTACCGCATTAGATTTAGGGATCGTTTGGTTGGTTTTTTATTAAGTTCTATATGAATAAAGTTGTCTATATTACTTAATCTGTTGGTATATGTTGTAACAGTTTCTGTTTAGGAGAGTTGTTTCATAGATGTAAGGAGCATGTTTTTTAATTCGGAGAGACATATTTGGAACAAGAAAACCTTGGTTTTCTACATAAAGCTTAAGAAGATTACTGGACAAGTGACTTTCTATATCATTAAGCTATACCTAAGCAAGTAAGTTGTTAGTCCCATTAAGCTCATTAAGCTGCTAACAAACAGACCCTTAGACTTTAATCCTTAGACCTGTAACTTTATGAGTTTACTCTTTACATACTATGACACTAATTTTATAATATCAGTGTTCCGTTAACTCGTATAAATTGGGTTAAATGAATTTTGGTAGAATTGTGCATAACATATTTGTACCCTATGCTATACCAACTTGTACCTCAAACTAGTTTTGTGTCAAAAGTTGAGTTTATACTTATATTTGGTGTAGAGTTGAGAATCTAGAATTGAAGGGTTAAAACCGCCAAATGGTTAAACTTATATATATATATATATATATATATATAATTAAATAAAAATAAATATATATATATACACATGTATGCATGAGAAGGTGGTTTTCATCACAGTCTCTTCTCTCGTCTCTCTCTAAAACTCTCGTCTTCTCTCTAAATTTCACGTCAAGTTACTAAGGGAATGAGGGTAACAAATATATATTTGGAATTCACTCTCCGAACCCTTCTTAAAGGTATAAATTTCATTCATTTTCATTATGGTGTTTATGTTAGGGTTCTTGAGAGCGGTTTATAAATTATGTTTATGTCTAAGTTTACAGATTGATGTTGTTAAAATTATGAAATATTTGATTATGATATATTTGATGCTTAGAATGCTAGAATTATTTTAAATTGATTTGGAAATAAAAACGGTAGATTGTACTTTCAATATGGTGAGATTGAGGGTATATGTTTAACTGCACATCAATTGTTCGGTTAAATGTCGAAAATAGTACAAATGTATGATTAAGCTTAGGTTAGCGACCATTGGACTTGTTTTACTGTTTTGTATGTTGAAGTATGTTTATAGAATGTAAATGTAGCAAATCATGGAAGTTGGATCATAAAAGTTAGTCGGGAATTGCATAATCGAATTTTACGGACAATGCAACTCCCGTAATTTGTCAGTGTATAACTCACAAACCGTAAGTCAGAATAAGTTCGTATTTTGTATTTAGAAAGATCTTACTGTATACTACAACTTTAATGAAGAGTTGAAAATCCAGTTATGGCTCTAAGTGGCCCGAAACACTGTGTTTTTTAGGCTGTTTGCACTATATTCAGGATTAATCTCAGTTTTGTAAAATTCATATAAAATAGATGGATGATCCAAATGAGATGATTCCAAAACTAATAGACACGCATGATACCAACCTACAACATTCATTTAGAAAAAATATAATTTGGATTGGTCTTTAAGTAGGGTAAAAATGCTTAGAAATAAGATGGACAGAAGCGGTTCTATCGAAAAAAAATAAGGCTAAGTTTTACGTTTAAGTTTTCAATTCGTATTTGACTGTCCTTCTTGAGATCTACGTTGTTTAATTACATTAAGACCTAACTAATTTTATTAGAATTCTTATGTTATGGTTTCTATGCTTTGTAAATTGTAACTCGTTCATGCATTCGTTAGGCACGCGGACAAGTCAAACTTGATCATGAATTTCCGTTTGATCGTGTGTTAATGGTCAAATTTAGTTAAGATACGGATTTCATATCTCACTTGACACGTGGATAGTCATTTGTATAAGGCTTCGTAATCCAAATAAATTGGTTCCAAATTCTCATTGTGCTCATCAATTGCTATTGAGCTTTTGTTTCCTTTCGAAATATGATGTACATTCTTATTTGGAACATGGATCATTTTGATCACTTGACTTGTTTGATTGCATCTATATTGAACCATTTTACTATAGACTCAATATTYRGGGGCACCGGTATTGAGATGTTTCCATGGTGACTAAAACGATCATGGCGTCCTCATTTTTGTCCTTAAAGGTGGACTTGATTATGTACCGGTTGAATAGAGGGTGTATGGATCGAGCCTAGTAACCGTTGTCGGATAATAAATTATGGCTGTGGTTAAATCCACGAAGAGGATTGTTGTGTTGTGCTTGCACCCCTTTCCTCACTTATGCCTGAACGGAGAGATCGTCCTTTGAGAACAACACGTCCTCGTGATGCGGTTTGCTTCGGACCCTTGACATGATTTTGGGGCATTTTGACTTTCTTTTGGATTATCACTTTGCGTTATAAATTGTTTTTGAACTTGTTATCTCATATCCATTGTTTAGTTATTATTATCTGTTCACTGAGCATTAAGCTCAGCCGAGATTTTCTTGTCCTAGGCAGGTACATGACTTAGCAGGGATTTTGGGGTGAGAGCTACGGAGATGACAATATTGAAGATAACTTATTACGTCATACTTTTGTTAATTTTTGATGACTAATGTAGATATACTGGTATTTTGGAATCGTATTCTGAGACATGTTATCTCCGTTTGTGGTTATATAATTATTTTTTGGTAAATTATTAGATGCTCTGTTTTATATAATGCACGTTGATTTTTTTTTAAACCAATTGTGGCATCTCCCTTCTTTTACCATGTGGGACAAGAATGTTACAAGTTTTGGTATCAAAGCTATATGTTATGATTCTGTAGTACAATTTAGGTTTGATCTATGAGGAATGGATAGAGCTAAGATAGAACTATCCTAAGCCTTATGCATGTTAACAATTTGGAATCTAGTATGTATACTTGGTCAATTCCCAAACTGATTGTTATTTATTGGCGATCGAATTCAGGAAGTTACTTTACTACCAATGAAAATGGATCACTTTGATATCATCCTTGGCATGGATTGGTTGTCTAAACATCGAGTGACTATCGACTGCAAAGTCAAACAAATCGTCTTCGGTGACGTTAATGAACCCGAATATGTGTTCCAGGGTGTTTTACCTGAGAAAGGGACTCGTGTTATCTCATAAGTAAATGTTAAAGCAATGGTATGGCAAGCATGTGAAGGGTTTCTAGCTTCACTACAAGATCCCGAAGAGGTATGCCATAAACTTGAAGATATTCATGTTGTTAATCAATTTCAAGATGTCTTTCCATATGAACTTCCAGGGGTTTTTCCGGAAATGGAAATTGAATTTACAATTGATCTTGTTCCGAGATCTGCTCCTATCTCAAAAGCTCCATATCATATTGTTCTAACCAAAATAAAAGAACTTAAGGAACAACTTGAAGATCTTTCTAATCGGGGTTTCATTCGACCCAGTGTATCTCCATGGATGCACCAGTCCTATTCGTTAAAAAGAAAGACGGACCGATGCGGTTTTGTATTGACTATCGTGAACTAAATCGGATCATGGTACGTAATAAATATTTCTTACCCCGTATAGACGATCTCTTTGATCAACTCCAAGGAGCAAAGTATTTTTCTAAGATTGACTTAAGGTCTGGATATCACCAATTCTGAATCAGAGATCAAGATATTCCTACGACTGCATTCCCTACTCGATATGGTCATTATGAATTCATTGTTATGTCATTCAGGTTAACTAATGCTCCAGCAGTTTTTATGAATCTTATGAACCGGGATTTCAAAATTATTTGGACGACTTTGTTATCGTTTTTATTGACGATATTCTCATATATTCAAAGTCGAAAGAAGATCACGAAACTCATTTGCGTATTACTTTAGAAACTCTTCAAAATAAGAAGTGGTATGCCAAGTTTTCTAAATGTAAATTTTGGTTGCATCAAGTGGCATTTTTGGGCCACATTATCTCTGGCGAAGGCATTAAAGTCGATCCTGCAAAGGTTGAGGCCATCACTAACTGGCCAAAACCAACAAATGTTTCTGAAGTCCGAAGTTTCCTAGGTTTGGCAGGTTACTATCGACGGTTCGTTGAAAACTTTTCCCAGATCGCGCTCCCTATGACTAAACATCTTCGAAAAGAATTTGAATTTGTTTGGGGTAAAGAACAGGAAAAGATTTTTGAAGAACTGACAAAGAGATTTATTACAACGCCTGTTCTTGCATTGCCATCTGGATCGGGAGGTTTTCAGGTTTATAGTGATGATTCTAAAAGTGGTCTTGGTTGTGTTCTAATGCAGCACAACAAAGTGATTGCATATGCTTCTCGCCACCTCAAACCTTATGAAGTAAACTACCCTACTCATGATATTGAGTTGGCAGCAGTCATTTTTGCACTCAAAATATGGAGTAATTATCTGTACGAAGAGACTTGTAATATCTTTACTGATCATAAAAGCTTAAAGTACATCTTCACGCAAAAAGAGTTGAATATGCATCAACAATGGTGGCTCAAACTTCTTAAGGAGTGCGATGTCCAAACTCAATATCATCCAGGCAAAGCTAATATATTCGCGGATGCCCTTGGCCGTAAAAGCATTGGTAACATATCGTCTTTAACCGTTCAATCCCATATTGCTTTGGATATAGAACGTATGGGTATTACTTTGTGTTATCATTGTAGAAATGAAGTTTTGGATAGTCTCACGGTTAAACTAGCTCTTGTATCTCGAATCAAAAAGGCTCAACAAGAGGATGGAAACCTTTGGGCTATCTTACAAAAGGCTAAAGATGATTCACAATCTGATTTTCGAGTTGATGATAAAGGTATTATTTGGTTTTCTAATAGACTTTGTGTACTTGACAATTCTAAACTCAAAGAAGCAGTTATGAGTGAAGCCCATAATTCACTGTTCTCGATTCATCCCGGATCCACTAAGATGTACCGAGATCTAAAACAGTACTTTTGGTGGAACGGTATGAAACGAGATATAGCGGAATACATGGCAAATTGCCTTACTTGCCAGAAAGTGAAGATTGAACATCTATGGGCTAGCGGATTATTACAACCATTAGAGATTCCAGTTTGGAAATGGGAACATATCTCTATGAATTTTGTGACAAGATTGCCGAAAACTCATAGACTACATCATGCTATATGGGTAGTAGTTGACCGTTTGACAAAATCAGCTCATTTCCTACCTATACAGGAGACGTACCCTGTTACTAAACTGTTTGATCTATTCCAGCTGGAAATAATGAGGTTGCATGGCATGCCAGTTTCTATCACATCAAACCGACATCCCGATTCACTTCTCGATTCTGGAAAAGTCTTCACCAGGCTTGGGGTACGCGATTGACTATGAGTTCAGCTTCTCATCCACAAACAGATGATCAAACTGAACGAACTATTCAAACTCTAGAAGATATGTTACGGGCTTGTGCTCTTGAGTAGTCTGGTAGTTGGGACGAGTATTTATATCTTGTGGAATTCGCGTATAACAATAGTTGGCAAGCTAGTATAGGCATGGGCCTAGACGAGGCTTTATATAGTCGGAGATGTAGAACACCGATATGTTGAAATGAAGTGGGGAAACGAGCTATTGAAGGACCCAAACTTTTCCAGATTACTACTAAACAAGTCGAGATCACAAGACAGAAAATGAAAGAGGCTCAATCTCGGCAGAAAAGTTAAGTTGGGAAGCATTGAAAACATTTAGAGTTTCAAACGGGTGATCATTTCTTCCTAAAAGTTTCACCGTTACGAGGTATTCGTAGGTTTGGAATTAAAGGTAAACTTAGTCCGAGATATATTGGACCTTTCGAAATACTTGAATGGGTTGGAGAGGTGGCGTATTGCCTAGCGTTACCTCCCCAACTGTCACATATTCATAACATTTTCTATATCTCGTCGCTCCGTGGATATCATTATCACCCTCTCCATGTGATTGATTATCCGTTGGACAAATTTGAAAAAGATCTCTCTTATATTGAAGAGCCAGAGGCGATAATTAGTCGAGAAGAGAGACAAATGCGACGAAGGTCAATACCGTTCGTTAAAGTGTTATGGCGAAATCATTTCGAGCGAGAAGCCACATGAGAAACGGAGGAATCTATGCGAAAGGAGTACTGTTATCTCTTCAAGTCATGTAAGTTCTCTAATCCTATCTAAATTTCGAGGACAAAATATTCTTTTTAGGAGGGGAGGATTACAATATCAGTGTTCCGTTAACTCGTACAAATTGGGTTAAGTGAATTTTTGGTAGAATTGTGCATAACATATTTGTGCCCTATGTTATACCAACTTGTACCTCAAACTAGTTTTGTGTCAAATTTGAGTTTATACTTATATTTGGCGTAGAGTTGAAAATCTAGACTTGAAGGGTTGAAACCGCCAAATTGTTATATATATATATATGAGCTTTGGTTCAAATACTAACCAAGAAATTTATGTTAACTATGCTTAACCAAGATCAACCAATCATAATCTACCTTTTCTTTATGTTCAAATGTAACTCATATATTAAATACAAGGGTAATTAGGTAATTTGACATTTATGTAACTCCCAAATAATTAATTGGGAGTTACAAATCTAAAAAATCTCACTAATTGATCATGATGTAATATTGTATTTGATTTCATAYGTGTTCATGATCATAATTTACAAATGATGTTCTCCATATAATGATATTGTTTCCGTAAGTGTAAAAGATTTTCATATCGTCCGAGTAATAATATGAATAAACATATTGTAAAACAGATCGACAACAATAGAAATGACAAAGTTAAAATCGTCTACGACTACATTCGGAATTTGAATTCCGATAATGAAGAAAATGATCAAAGCATTCCTATTGGTAAGTGATTAGTATGACATTTGAATTCGTTTAAAAAAACACATATCAAAGGTAATAGATGTTCACATCGATATATACGCACAATCACATCACATGAATATGAACAGTATCTGTAATTCATGTGAACAGAAGCTTCGTACATGTTCATGTACATATAACAGAGTTGGCTCCTGAATATACAAAAGATGTTCATACGGTTCACATGTTGTTCATATGTCTAATCTTTTTTCTTTGATGTGTTTTGAGGATATACACAAGTTGTTCATATGTCTGACAACTCGTGTATCAAAGATAGATTAGTTTTTACCTAAATACCATTTGACATTTTGTTCACATATGTTAATTGAAAATATTAATTTAATAATTAATTTTTACATATCATTAAATCACAACCGTTTATTATTCAAATTAACAGCTAAGATCGGTTAACAAAGTTAACACGATAATCTTGGTTAGCATTTGAACCAGCCCCTATATATATATACATATATATATAGATATATATATATATACATATATATATACATATATATATAGATATATATATATATACATATATATATATATACATATAGGGGCACGTTCAAATGAAAACCGTGCATTTCTAAGAAACCGTGTAACCAATTTCGACCAATAGGAAAATTCCTTTTTTTCTAATTAAATTTAATCAATAAGGGTATTTCGATCATTTACAATATTTTCTATTAAATATGGAAGTTATTAATAAATCTTATATTAAGAAAATTGTATAAATGGTAACATTTAAATATTTAATTATATTAAAATATTAAAAATTTGGATTTCATATATTGTTATGAGTTATAATCAGGAAACGTGTCTTGATGAAACAACTGAATTATAGAATGAAATCATCAAAACGTAGATGAACAAAAAAAATCCACAAAAATGAAACAAGTTTCATGAACGTGAAACCGGTTCATGTTGCAAAAAAATTAGGTGAACCGAAACATTTTTATGGTGAACTCGTTGCATTGATGATGTTAATTCTTTTTTTTTTATGAGAAGCAAAATGAAACCGGTGCATTTTGAAAAAAAATTATGAAAAGGAAAATGAAACAGGTTTCATGAACGTGAAACCGGTTCATGTTGCAAATAAATTAGGTGAACCAAAACATTTTTATGGTAAAACTGTTGCATTGATGGTGTAGTTGATCCATTTTGTTGATGAAAAGGAACATGAAACCGGTGCATTTTGAAAATAAATTACGAAAAAGAAAATGAAACAGGTTTCATGAACGTGAAACCGGGTCTTGATGCAAATAAATTATGTGAACTGAAACATTTTCA